TCTAACGCCCGCTCAGTTGGACCGCCCACTTGCTAGATGCCCTCTGACGGAGGGCCGCTCAGTTGTTCTTTGTTGGGGCGGCGGGCATTAATCGGAATTGCATGCCCTTTTTGCTGACCGCGCTCGTGCCCATGAATGATTCTGCTCTCCTTTATTACATTTTATTCATTAGGAGCACATACAGTCAACTCCAACCCATCTTGGTAAAACGCGTAAAAATCACGAGCAACCCACTTTTCGTCTCGACGCAGTACCCTACACTAAAAGATGCACGCTACCGTAACCCTAAATTCAGACGCCTAGTTTTGAAAGTTTCTTTTCCTTTTCAAGAGTTTTTTCCGTGTTTTTGTTGTTTTTCGTATTCTTTTCATTGCATTGGATGATACCCACTACTGGGAGATGTGATAAAGGGATTTGTGAGCCAGGGGTTGCACAGAGACCGCAGGGAGGTGTGACTGTCAGGGAGCGATTTTGTTTATGGTGTTCTTGAGGACTCTTCTTGCTTTTTTCTTCTTTGGGGAATTACTTATCAGCTACTGTTTCATAATTGAAAGCAGCTATCCATGACACTTTTATCGCGGGAGCTGTCTTTAAGCGGAGCATATGGCAGCTACTGTCGTTTGGACCCGTTTGCCTCGTCCATGGCAAACACCGTATTGGGACGTTGTGTACAGTTTGTCTTTAACCTAGCAAGAAAGCTTTCGAATCTTTTTTTATAGCTAAATCAGAATTTATCAAACGATACCAACCTTTGGCAGCAGCAAAGGACACACAGATGTTCTTTTTACGCAAGTCTTCGTGGATCTGAAATAATTCATAGATGAGGTATTCATCGGAAGAGGAGCATATCCAAGGTTGCTGTAGAAATTTTTACAGTTTCAATGGAGTACCTACAATTAGGCTACAGAGGAATATTGAGGGACTGAAAATCTGTACCCTATGCGCTTATACAGGAATATGTCACTAAAAAAAGAAACTACCAAAGCGACGAGACTACTGTCACTATAAACTTTCCTAAGCCTGTATGTTGGCTGACTATAGAGTCCTACGACGCTATCTAATCTTGGACAGCACCTGCGTTTCTATTTCTTCATATCCATCTAATTTTCCTTTTATTTTTCAAGTTGATCTCACTTCCTCTAGAGATTGCCCGCCAAAACTTCTCTGTCTTCTATAAGTAATTCAGACGCTGCGTGAACCTTGCTGCACCGTCACCTCCATTATCGACTCACTTGCGCTATGATAGGGAGACCATTTCCTAAGAAAAAATCCATCCCTGGTCACCAACATGTCATGTATCTACCTTTGTTGAATCCTCCATATTCCGCAGTCTCTCTGCTCTCTCTGACAGCTCCTGACCTTTCGCGCAAGACCCCCAATCTAGTCGGGCCCGTGTGACCCGTCAGACTGTAATCTTTCTATACTGAGTAGCGGTACTCCCATATATTTTCTTTAACATATTTTCTGCGTTTGCTCATAAAAACTGATGGTATCGAATTTCTCACCTCTTTGAGGATATTCACTCCCATGATGTCCACGTAGGCAAATCCAGAACAATCTATTATGAGGTATTTCTTCTGGTTATCAGAAGACTCACTCACGGTATCCTTCTGAAATTAGAATATTTCAGTGTAAAGAGGGGTATTCACAGATCATAAGGCTGAGAGCTAACGTATTATATAAGAAGTTATTAGAAACAGAAACCACCTCGTTTGGTTCTCCCAGGGTTAAATGTTTCTTGTCAAGTTTCCCGCAATACTTGATTCCTTCCCAGTCTGTGGCCACACTATCCACTATCTTTCGGAATCGACCCACATTCGTGAACAAAAGGGGTGAATCGAATCGCAGCACACATACACTCTAAAGATTTTCAGAATTTGTGATTTTTGGTTAAGCAAGGAGTAGAAAGAACAGAACTGGTTGCACTTACATTGAAGAAATAGATATGGCGATATCTTTCTACATCACGGAAGTCATACGTGCCCGAGATATTAGCCAAAATGTGCCACCTTGGCCTGAAATTCCATGAGCTGATCAGAGATCTAGGTGCTATGTAAATAAATACGTAATAAAAATACAAGTAATTTTAAATGGGAAACGATGAAAAATGGAGCCTTTTTCTCGGATGCACCAAACCGATTCCATCTAGTAGTTCACCGCAAATAGGATATTAAAGAAGGATAGAGCCTCCCTCATTGATCAGGGGATGAGGGAGGCTCTATCCTTCTTATTAGGGGATGCGCCACGCATTCTACATCCTTCAGGATCGTGGTGACTTATAGAATGCGAAATGTCCATGCAATGGCCAGCCGATATACAATTCAGTGTTCTTATCCTCCCAGATGAATATGGGACCAATTTACCGCCCTCGGAGGGTAGAAGGCTTGGTTGGCCTGGGGGGGAGTAGACCCGGGATTCGAACCCAGGACCGCGTTAGTGGTAAGTGTGCCACTTGCCACTACACCACCACCGCCTCAAATAGAATATCAGTGGAAATAACCAATCAAACTCACCACTGTTCCCTGATGACAGTTGTGAAGAGGGCGAAAACGATAGCAATTCCCAATTCCAAGTCCTTCTACTACATCTATACAGAGCGTGGCGACGAACGCGACCACCCAAATGCTCTGAAAAACTAACAATGAGGCAGGTTACATACAGCCGTTTTCGCTGCAGACGTTTGGGGCGTATCAGAGGCAGGGCACGCCATTGTTGTGATAAATTTCTGCAAAATATGACCCTCCCCTTAGTTCCATCCTTTGTTATGACCCCCCCCTCCCCATTCCTACCTGCCACTTTCGTGGATTTTCCCGACCTCCTACCAGTTTTTCCGGGGCGGCACTTCTGAAAAACTTCTGGTTTCTATCCAGGATTTTTGTTTTCGCAGCGGGCGGGACGGGGGGGGGGGGGAGGTCGTCAGCGAACTAGCTACTAACTTTCAACTACCGATAAATAATCAGTTGTATAAATGATTGGCAAAGTGCCGGCCAGCAGGGGGAGGAAACAATGAATAAACCGCAAAAGCCAACACCGGGAAATTTTTTGCCCAACGTCGCAAATTTCTTCTCAAAGACAAATACGATCTCCCCTTCCCAACAACGCACAACTACGACTCCCCCCCCCTTTTATAGCGTCCATGAGACAAGAGGAATCACCTATCAAAAAGAGTTTTCCATCTCAAACTTCATTACTCTACGGGTCAAATATGACCCCCCCCCCTTCATTGCTGATTCATACAACAATGACGTGCCCTGATCAAAGGAGGTGACAGTCCCTCGGTCTTCGTTTGCCATGCCTCCTTCCCTTATAGATAATTCGAAATGTCAGAGTACTGGACTGAACTTACAAAGTCAATTTTGGACAGTCGCCACAATCTTTCTAGTTGCCCAAATTTCTCGAACATTCCCAACAATGCCGTGACAATGATGGAAGCAAGTACGCACTGAAATCAAAGCACAAAATAAAACTTTTTGGTACAACTACATGAAAACTGTCGGAGACATGTCTTTTGAAATGTTGTAATTTGTTTCTATGAAGACAGCTAGAAGAAGAAAAAGAATTGAAAAGTTATCGTACATTTCGGGTAACGGCTGAAGTCCATGAACACTGAAACTAGCACGATAATGAAGATGAGAAAAACTCTTGATGAAAATGGCATTTAACTTGAAAAAGGGAACCTTGAAATGCTTAGTCAGCTCAATGTTGTTGCCGGTAAGTTTGCTTCTTTTGCTTTGCCTAATGAGGAACTTAGTCGCGGTGGAAACTAGGCCGCGGAGTTTCTGGTTCTGATTTTCCAGACTTGAGGCTTGGGAAGCCAAACGATGGGCGTTACTGTCAAATAATATGTTACTTATGCATCCGCGTGAGCAAGTCTGCGAGAATGCCCCAGGTTCTCTAACGGGCAACCTTCTCTAAAAGTTCTGAGGAACTCACCTGTGATCTGGTCCCAGCTCCGGCACTAACCATTGTTCGAGATAGACTGCAAGAGTTGGGGAAAACTGGGAAGAAACCACTCAAAAGCGATGAGAAACCCATTGCATAAAACTCCTGGAATAAAGCTGATGGAAATTGCTTGAACAGAAACCTCTTATTCACCTTCGCAGATCGTGGACTTTGACATGTGTGAGAAGAATGGGTCCACAGCTGCGATAGCGTGCCACTTGCTTGGCGCAAAAGTGCATGAGAATGGAACAGGAGGGTAGTGATACCTGGGTGCCATCTACATATCGCGCCGCAGTTGCCGCACGGCCAGCCACACGCCTAGCCATAAACAAGTGCTCTACTTATCTGCGCCCTCTCATTTTTAGTGTTCTCTAACCGTTGGAGTGCGGTATTTTCTTCTGCGATACTCCGCGATATCTATTCAAGCGCAGAGCCTTTCCCCCTTCCTTCTTTTTCTTCCTTCCTTCTGTCATCATTCTTCCTTATTTTCCTTCCTCTAAATGTTGAAACAGAAGATGCTATGAGAAAACACCTCTAGACCCTCACAGCGAGAGAGCATCCGGCCGACAGGTATCTTGTAACCATTTCTCTGGGGGATCTTGGTATCGACGCAAGTACAAGACATTGAGGGTAGCGCGAGCGGATTATGTCGCACAGCACCTCCCAGTATCACAATTCCTCCCGGCCCGTTGGCCTTTCGCACAAGAGAAAGTTGCCCATGCTACTGTAGCTGTGGACCTGTTCATCTCGCATGAGGAAGGACCGTCTCGAGAGGTGTCGTGTACGGGTTTGTCTCAAAGCCCGAGAGTGTCAGAACACTACGTTCTCCACAAAATCATCGACAATTTCTCCGCACTTTCAATTGCTGGAAAGGTTATGGGTTATACTAACTCACCTGATTGATATCAACTTCGTACTGGTACTTTTTGGCAAGTATTTTAGCAAGAGAGACATGTATAGCCATAACAACGACTGAGATCGAAATCGCATCGACAACCAATGATGGAATCAATTCGAGGTGAGGCAGAACTGGAGCTGGTAGACTGCAAATCAATGAACCTATTATGTCGTCCGAAAGTCTAGTGTTTATTTCATTTTCACAAAAATCACACCGCTGATTCGCTCGCGTAGGGCGCCTTCTGCACTTTCGCTACAATATTTTTGCTGCATCATGTTAACTAAACCAGGTCACACTGTCGTAGAATTTAAATACTAGCAAGTTGAAAAGCGGTACAGATGAGCCGTCTAATTACAAAAGTACAGGTTTTCACGAGTTGACTTTACAACCTTCGCGGGCCATTTTTCGGTACCCCCAGCAAGCCGAGCTGCGCTCAAATTTATATTTCAGGATACTGTAGCCAGTTTTTAATGCAATGACATTTTCGCTTCAGAGGCAGTCTGCGCCATGATAATTTGGTTACTCGGTGTTCTAAAATGCTAGCAGGGCGCTGTATGAGGGAAAATGGCGAAAAAAAAAACGAAGAAGTGAAACGGTCAAAAACCTGCGAAGAAAAGCCTTCGTTCTTAATGACTCAAAAAGCAATTTCGGACGAGTTTTCCGTAGGCATCTTGCCAATAAACCGCCTACGTGCGCGTGCCGCGTGCTACTCATATATTTCAAAGCAGCCCCGCTGCCGCTTCACACCATGTCCATTTTTCATATCTTTACTTTAGCATACCATGAAGGCGATACAGCATCAGGCCAGGCGTCCACTTATGGGGCGGGGCGGGCCGTGGCTGTGGGGTTTGGCGTTGGATATGTTTGTAGGCTTTGACAGGAGCCCTTATAAGGTACCTTCTTGGAAAAGGCGCTATACGCAGCGCCTGCTCAGGGTGCGCGGAATTCCGTCCTGCCAGGCATATTAATCCTACTCCGTCTTCAGGGATGGAGAGCGGCCATACTGCCTTTTTATCGCTAGCAATCTCCACCGTAAAACTGTTCGGACTGTGAACCGAGCCGACGAGTTTGGCCGCTCCAGATATGGTGTCGTCCAGATTTTGGGATACTCTTCATTGCAGGTAGCAGTATAGTGCTCGTAAAAGGCGGAAGTCGTAATGCAACTGGTGGAGAGCGGCTGAGCGGGGGTCTACGGACGACTAAACTCAATCCTTTGCATGGCTTTCGCTCTCTGTTTTTCTCAGCCCTCTCTCGTCTGCATGACGTTTTGTGACCATCCAGACATTACATATTCCAGCCTTTACACATGATATGTGGCCCATCCACCCCCTTGAAAGAAAACTTCGATTCTTCCTGGCTCGGCGACATGTTTTTTTGTACGTCCTCGATGCGCTTTGCAACCGCAGTCTTGTTTCCCTCGGGTACACACTGAGTTGGGGTTGTATTCGAGTCCGTTTACGACCCCCCTCCCCTTTTTTGGGGTTGCATGCGCAACTCTCCCGTCTGCCCTCCTCATCGCAGCTGTGTCGAAGCCGGGGTGGGGCAGGGGATAAGTAGCACATGTGAAAACAGGTAAAGCCGTGAGACGATACGATCCCCCTTCTACCATCTCTCAGATTTTCCCCAACTTCCCACTGTTTCCAAAATTTCCTCCCTAGAACATCATACTGTTTCCATAAAATTTACTGTCCAGGGAGGGGGGAGGGGCCGGGGGGTATATTAATACGCATTGGAACGGGAAATCATGAAAGTCAACCACCACTCTCAGTAGGCAAAAAGTAAATAGCCCTGTGGAAGATCCCCCAAACAAACCGATCTGTGCTCTTGGTTCCTGCACTTATGGCTTTTCGCCAGCAAGGTCCCCCACTGGAAATCTTGGAAATCTTGAGTTGTAAACCGCGGTGAACTGACCATGAGGGGAAGCGTTGTTGCGAGATACGATAACCTTTATCCTCCTTCGGCCCTTTTCCGAAATGGCCGCCAACGCAGGCTTTCGAAGGGGGCCCTCGTAAACGCTCGCGGCCGATTTGCTCATTCATTCGGCAGCTCCCGGCTTGTCTTGCTCTGCGAATCTCATCGGGTTCTGAGCAAGGTAAACTAATGATTTCTTAAGGCCGTATCTTCAAGCACAGAGCACTGAAATTAACGTAATGGGCAACTAAGCGAACTTCTGAGATTTTCAGACGTACATTCCCGAGCTCCAATTGTTTCATGTGTACTACAAGCATAAGAATAGCATCTACACAAATTGAATACGATAAAAGGCTCGGTGTTGATCGCCGTTGTGCAATCATCTCAGGAAAACAAAATATAAGAAAGGAATGCACTAATGCAAGGTGATGCAGGCGGTAAAATTAAATAAGGAAAGCTTTATGGAATTGGATCTAATATCAGAGGATTTTCCAACTTCACTGTGCAACTCTTCCTTATAATTACTCGAAATGAACTGTTGTAGTCATTTATTCTACTGAGAGGATTTGATTGTGTTTCTTTTGAGGTTGCTCTATTGCTTTCGATCTTCTAAGAAAAGATTCAAGTGCTCAATCCTTTCTGAAGCTTCATACTAGCCTTCTTCTCCCTATCCTTAGTCCCGCCCCGCCGCAGGGTCCGCTGTTCGTGCTGCACGTCGCCACTTGTTCCGATTCACTCTGCCGTGGCATTCACTTCAGTGAGGTCCTTTTTGATGACGTCCCTCCATCTTTTCTTTGGGCTCCTCGTGGTCGCTTGCCCTCTACTTCGAATTCCAATGCCTTCCTTATTGGGTGGTCTTCAGGCCTCCTCAGTACGTGCCCATACCATCGCAGTCGCTGCTCTCGCTTCAGCTGGATCGGAGCCGTCTGTGTGACTGCCCTGACGTCCTCATTCCTGACTCTATCTTGTTGTGTCCCCGCAGGCTCAACTCAGCATCCTCATTCAGCTGGGTGGAGCTGCCTTTCATGGTTCTTGCAGATGGGCCAGCACTCACTGCCGTAGAGCATTGTAGGCCTTACCACCGCCCGGTACACCTTGCCCTTGAGCGTTCTCGAGCACCGCCGGTCGCACAGGATGCCAGTGGACTCCCTCCATTTCATCCAGGCTGCGTTGATTCGAGCCTTCACCGCCTGGTCCACGCTACCATCAGCTCAATATCGCTCCCCAGGTACTGGAAGTCCTCAGCCCTTTCGATGCTTTCGCCATGGCGGTCCACGATGGGTTCTTGCACTCTTCGGAGCTCAGGAACTTGGTCTTCCTTACGTCCTATACTATACCGACTATGAATGTTCACAGGTTTTCTGGATCGCATTCGATCAATGGGGTGGTATCCGTCTACAACATACGTTTTACAAAGACACAAGAGAAATTTTCCTGTCCTTCCCGCTTCATGGACGTCATAAAGCTCCCCCACGGGTGACGACCTGCACCCATTCGACGCCTGTTTCCTAGGGAAAGTGGAAGAATTGAAAGAAATGGTAGGAAGTTAGCGAAGGTTAGCAAGACGGTAGTTGTTACCTCTGGGAGTGGTCGTCTTTTGCAAAAATATTACACAACGTGATGGAGAACCCCGACTCTGCAATTTTTTGCACCTTCTGTGATGCAGCCTTCACTTCATTACAGTCCATTCACTTAACCTCTGGAGATGTATCGCCTTGAGAGAGGAAGCTTTTAGAAGTGTGAATAGCAGGAGAATTTTTTCGGCTGTGTTGCATACCTCCCTTGGTTGGCGACGCCGTCAAAGTCCTAGACGACCACTACCTTCGATAGCTGAAATCACTAAATCCATAATTCTTTGAGGACGATCACAACCCACACTTCCTCCCCCTCCCTCCTTCTCCGCCGGCTCGCGACGGCATTTTGGGGAAAGGTGGCAAACTTTTTGGAAGACTGGGAAAAAGTGGAAGGAACTTGGGAGAATCTAGGAAGATGGTGGTGGGTAGGAAGGGGGCAGAATGTCGTACCGGAAGAAGAAATCTTGGGGGAGGGGGTGACGGCGTCCGACTCTGCTATTCCTCTCATCCCGATGTTGAGCGGCCAGACAGTTTACTAAAGTATCGACAAACGCGCTAATTCTTTGGCGAGTGTGATGCACTATGAGCAAACATGTCATTCAAATTCAACTGTTGTAACGTCTTTGTTTTGGTGATTGTCATTTGATTTCATCCGGAACAGACATCAGTACTCCAGGAACCAAATAAATATTGCAATTTATAATGATCGCTCACCCTTGCGGAATTTTTCCCACGGTTTTGACAGCGAAATTAGCGTTGAGACGAGCAAATTGTGAAATCAAAGACCCAACGACCACCTAAAGCAGTACAAAATGGAAATGTGGGATTTCAAGCAGAGAATAAATTGGGCGCTGACAACCTTGGAGGGGCATTTAAAGGACTCCTTTACAAAACTAGAGTCACCGTAATGGAGATGAATGCTTCCGCCTTGCCCCAAAGGGGAAGAGAACTCCAGGGTGGGTGAAGCGGGAGCCATTTCAGGGCTCTGTACACATTTAGAGTCACTCCATAATCGGAGATGAATGCTCTGCCCTTGGCTCAAAGCGAACGAAAACTCCATGGAGTGGATAGCCGATTTCAAGAGCAAAAGTTCGATGACTTTCTTTTCTTTACCCAGCGTATTAGGGCGACCAATCCTTTTCACAGAACACTCACAGCAATTTAGTTCCATGGGAAATGGCACAGGACAATGGAGACGCTTTTTTATGAAAGGATTTATCGCGTGTTTTCCAAGGAGTAGCATGGAATCGGTCACGTTAGGACACCCCGAAGAGTGACAAGATTCCGTTCGAGCGAATTCCTGCGCTGATTAGATTTATTGTATTAGTATTCGGTGAGATATTCAGTTAAATATGTTCCCGCAGAACGAGAGAGGGGTGGGGTTTGAACCGCAGCCGGAGCAGACTTTCCCACCAGTGGTTGCCGGGTCAGGAGGGCATCGACTGGAGGAAAAGGCCGCCGTGGCTGCACTCCATTTCACCCCCCTCACACACCCCTCGTTTGCAGGACTAATGAAGCATGTATCTACACTCTATAACCTAGAGCTACGTAGGGCGTGGCTGCGTACTCCACTTAAACATG